GAAGAGGAATATTTTATTTAAGTTTGTTAACAAGCTTTTTTTTTTATTAACATGGTTACAAGTAATAAAAGAGAAGCTTTTTTAATTGTCAGTTTCTCTTCTTTTCATGTTTTTGCGCATCCATGCTATTTAAGAGCTTGATATAAATTAAAATCAAATCAAAAGTAGTTTTCATTGTATTGATATAATCGCCTACCACCGTATAATGACAGTGTTTGTTAGTTGTGTTTAATTAAGTTTAGTTCACATCAGAATTGGGGGATTGCGTGGAAAAGAGAAATTTAAAACCTGACTTGGGAAATACACTCATTTAAATCCTAGATGAATGCTAATGAAGAAACAAAATAAAGTTTTTTACAACCTTAAAATAAGGGGGGGGGGAGAGACTGGAGGTATGAAGCTCGCGGGATTTAAAATTTTGTTGTAATAACACTTTTACTACTTCATTATAGTTTGTTAATGTTCTTATTAAAAGAGCAGAAGATTAAATTTTGGATTTAATTTCACGATATCTAAATTGACTTTTGTACTGAAACTTTGATTGCAGCAAATTAGAAAACAATTTTTTTGCAATAAATAAATAAAAGAATTGTACAGTTTACACATTCATCATCCCAAACCCCTCCTGCAGAGAACCCGAATCAAGGAAAACTAATGGGTAAGGGGAGGGGAAGGGAGGTTTAAAATGGAGAGGGGGGGGGGTGAAAAAGGGAGAGGGGGTGGTGAGATAAGGAAAAGAATCCTTTTAAATAAATTAAGGATGCAGTAAAAAAACGCTCATGCTAAAAGATATGGAAATTTCAAAGCTAAGATAGTAACAAAAAACTCAGGAAGTGTACATTGGCTAGATTTATGAAAGATTAGGGGCGGATACAGGATTTAAGTGAGGGGGGGGGGGCAAGTTTTTTTAGGAACAAAAAAATTCATAATTAGGAACAAAAAATCGCGCCGCAGGGGAAATTGTTTTTGACTTAAAAGACTCAAAAAGAGTCAAAATTAATGACTAAAGACTATATAACTATATTTTTAACTTTATACTAATTATAGTTTATTAAGACAGATATTTTTTCCTGTTTTGCACTAGGGTTTCTTTCCAATAAGCATGCTATTGAGAAGCTATTCTGAAAATAGGAACCAAAAAATTCCAAATTCAAAACACTTATGTTCTTCTTGATAGCTCTTCAATAAGGGGAGTTATTATTGAAAATATAAAAGACTACCTGAAAAAAAATTTGAAAAACAAATTTTTGAAAAAAAATGTTCGATTTTTTTTAGCCTATAACACCAATGAGTGTCCACAAAAAAATTCAGCCCAATCGGTCCAGTCGTTTGGCCGGCTATACGCAACATATATATATACGAATGTCTTGTTTTATTATATAGATTTCAACCTTTCGTCAAATTTACTTTAAATTGACGTGAGATGGTATCATGGGGGTCTGATTACAAAATTAAATTATTTTTAACACTGCTAAACGCTACGTACTAGCCAAAGCTGAATAAATATGTCTGGTATTTTTCAAATTTTCATTAGTCATTCTTAAGCCATTAAACTAAGCATGATTAATCTCCCTACTCTAAACTATTTTGAGTTAAAATGAATATTCCAGCAAAAAAAGGAAAAAATGGAATATTTGTGTTGTTGAATCTTAAAGCTTCTTGATATTTAAAAGGCGGTTCTACGTAATTTCAAGTGACCTTCTTTAAGTGCACGGTCAACGACTACATTGCAGGAGAAACAGATAATTATTGGTTTTCCCGCATATTTTATTCTCATTTAATAGATAATACAAGCCAATTAGAAGTTTTATTTAGGAAAGATCTCTCCGACTGATTTTCTAAAACCTCATTAAAATCTTAAGCTGAAAAGAACTGTCAAACACATTTTCAAACATAGAATTAACACATTAGAAACTCTGCTATTGGACAAAAAAAAATGAAAAGGTCAAAAGATTTTTTTTTTCTTAATCATACAAACCTGAAATTTTTTTAATTAGATAGAGATATTTAACAGTTAGTATATTTTTACATCGAAAATATGGGAGTCTCCAACGTAAATATGGGGTCTCTTCTGATAATCTGGGGGTTGTCCAAAATGAAAATATAATGGTCTCCATGAAAATATAATGGTCTCCAACGTGAAATTTTGGGTCTCTAATGAAAATCTGTGGGTCTTCAATGAAAATCTGCGGTCTCTTATGAAAATATGGGGGTCTCCAACGAGAATCTGGGGGTCTCCAATGAAAATTTGGGAGTCTCCAATGGACATGTTGAGGTCTCCGACGTGAATCTGGGGTCTCCAATGGAAATATGGGGGTCTCTAACGAGAATCTGGGGTTCTTCAACGAGATGTTAATGTAGGTCTCCAATGAAAGGGGGTCTCCTATAGTACTTCGATGATGATTATTTCATCCCAGACTCGTTTAAAGTACATTGTATATAAAAAAATAAAAAATATTATGAAATATCAACCATAAATGAATACACCGAATTAAATTCGTTAATAATAGGTTATAATTTCTGAATTGTTAATTTTAAGTTAAATTGAATTATTTACGATCTGAATGAAATACAGCAAATTCGTGACTTTATATGGACGCCACGCTCTTCGGTTTGAGTCGTGTCTAACCATTTTCTCCTTATAGGCGCAACAGATAGAAGTAAGATTAGTTTAGTAGTGATCACCATCAAATTAGATTCGACGTTAGCCTATACCCCTTTTCATTTTTAGCGAACACTCCTTTTTAGGGCCTAGGTTGGGGATAGAGGTGGGGGGCCCGGGGGGG